ATTCTGTGATTCTGTGATTCTGTCCCCAGCGCTCTGACAGACCGAGCACCAGCCACCCCACCTTCACCACAGCGGTGGGCGGGGACGCTCCCGGCCCAGCAGGACTCCGGGGTTCTTTGGTTTTGACAAGAATCCACCCCCGCTGACACAGACAGACAGACAGACAGACAGCACCTGGCTGCCGCCGCCCAGCCGCGGCGGGGGCGAGGGGCGGGCTCGGGGCTCGAACTCGGGTCTCCCGTATCCCCGCCTGCCTCACCCCCGCCATTCCCGCAGTCCGTGGGCGCCGCTGCGCGCCCCCGCTCCGGCCCTGCCGCGGGGTGGCGCATGCGCGGGGCGAGGGCGGCCCTGAATGGGCGCGCCCCGGCCCCCCCCACCCGGAAGTGGCGCGCGCGGGGCCTGTGGCGGCGGCGGGGCCGGGCGGCCGCGCTTCGACACCGGCGCAGGTAACGGGCCCTGAGCTCGTCTTCCCCTGCTCCGCACCCCTCCTGCTCCTTCGCTATGGGCTACTCAGCGCTGTGGTGGCGGTGCCTCGCAGGGACCGGGTGTCGCGCCGAGCGCTGTGAGGCGGGTCGGGGCGGTTATGAGGGGGCGTGTGGGGCTCGGCTCTGAGGGGGTGCCTGGGGCTCGGCTCTGAGGGGTGTTCCAGGCGGGGCTCGCCGCCGCCCTCAGGAGCTCGGGGCCGGAGCGGTTCCTCGGGACGCCCTGGGGAGCTCGGCTGTGCTCGGGGCCAGGGGCCGTGCCCGGCTCGGGGCACATGCGGTGCTGCTGGCTGACTTTGTGCCAGCTGTGCCCCGGGAGCTGGAGGTGCCCAGGGCAGGGGAAGTGTCCCATGCCCGGCTCTGCCTCCCGTCTCTCGGGCAGAGCCTGAACAGGGCACGGGGTTTGTTTCTTTCAGCTCCTGTTCTTTTCCGTTCACACGGTGTTCTGCTTTTTCGTGTGACTCTCGGTATGAACAGCCTGTAATCTTTCAGACAAATATCTCACGATCTTTCAAAATTTCGTTAAAACTCAGGGTTCTTTTGTTTCTTTGTGTTATTTTCGGGCAGCTCTTGACAGTCGGTGTTTCTGCTATGCTTTGTGTGATGCCTGTCATTGCCCCACCGTGCCTCTCGCTGTGTGGATGTCGATAGTGCTCTGTCTTTTTGGCAAGCTTGGTTTTGCAATCTCTGGGAAGTAAAACTTTTGCAAGCAAGGAACATCCTTTGTTACATGTTTCTAGACTAAAAGTATCAGACTCCTATCCTGACTCATGACAATTCGGGCCATAGGTCTGGTACAGGTATGTGTGATCCTGGTGGAAGATGAATTCCCAGTATCATTTTAGCTTTGTTTTCTGTTATTCTGTAAGTATTTTGGCAAAATTCTCGCCCAGCTTTATTTGCAGTTCGTGTTTGTGAAAAGCGAGAAGCATTTTGGATGTAAATGAGCTCAGCATTCTTTGATTTCACCTTCTGGAAATGGGTGGCAGTGGAGCAAAGGGCTGGAGATGATCTCAAGCTCCTGGCAGATGCAATTAGCCTTTCAAAGATGTCATCAGCATCCTCCCACGGTACTCCTAGAGGTGGATCGGTATCGGTGCGTCTGCCAAGCTGTTTGCAAATAAGTTTGTCATGGGTAATTAGGAGCTCTTTGATTTCAGGCCTGTTAGCTGGAATCCAGGGCTGAAGAACTTGCCCTAAAGTAACAGCGTGGGGCAACCTTGCATTCCGGTTTAGGATGTTGGTGTCACACCCAGCAAGTTTTAGTGAGCCCTGGGTGTCTTTAACTCAGAATCTTGTCAGGAACAAATCCATTAAATGTAGGGGAAGCAGCTTGGGGTGCTTTTAATGTGTATTCATATTAGCTCCACAATTCACTGTGGCTTTTATTAGAAAAGAGTTCATCTTGGGTTTTTTTGTCTTTGCACTGCTATGGGGTTTTCTGCCTGCCCTACATCTGAAGTCCAGTAACATTGTGCTTTTCAGGATGATGCATCCGAGGCCACTTCCTCAGTCTTTAATCCTTAATTGTTCACATAAAACTCGGGAGTTATTGCAGTAATGCAAAGTGTTTTGTAGAATTGTACAATTCGGGGCTTGGTGGTTTTTTTGTTTTTATTGGGGTTTTTTTTGTTTTTTTTTTTTTGTTTTGTTACTGTGTTTGAATGTTTGTCTCAACAAAAAGCTTTTTCACAAGTTGAATGTTGCAGCTCCTGCAGTGACAGCTGCCTGCACAAACTGTCCATTCCCAGTGGGAAGACTCCCAGGTCTGGGCTTTTCTGTGGAACACAAAACTCCCATGGAACTAAATAATTTAGGAAGTGTAAATGCAACTGATGAAAGATTTAAACAAGGTTAAGCTAGAAAGGAATACTCTGTGCAGACAGTTTTCTGACCCATAGTGATTCAAACATTAGACCTCTTGAATAATCCTGTGCATGAATAACATGTTTGACTCACATGCACACTGAGGCTAAATATGGCCTTTCCTCAGCCAGAAGGTCAAAGGGCAGGATTTGCATATCCTAGACATTTAAAAAGAAGAATTCCTAAAAAATGCAACAGTACTGGCTATCTCAGCAGTCAAGGAAAAGAGTGAAAGACTCTTAATTCAACAAAATGTTTTGGCTCAGTGCTTTTTTTTGTGAATTTGAAGGCTGAAGGTGTTTATCACATTTCTAACAAACAAGGCCTGTTTATGCTAATATCAAGGAGAAGTAAAGCCTGAGATGCTGATAAGGGTTTATTTTTCCAATAGGAAGGACTAGGAATGTCTTTATTTTACAAAATGAAAATTGAAAGGCTTTGCCTGTAGAATATTGTGTTTTCTTGGTGTATCAAGTGACTTAAGCATAGCTTGTGGAGTTGCTTTTATCAAGGCTTTATTGTGTTGTGTGACTCTGATTACCAAATGAAACTCAGTGCAGATTCCAGAAAAATCTGCCCTTTCTGTAAAGACCATTGATATTAAACAAGAAAAGTGTTTTTAAATCTATTTTTGACATGTGTACATTCTGTTCACACAGAAGTTCAGCCTAAAGTTTCTTTTAAAAGTTTCTCATCAGTGTAAATGCAACATTAGAGCAGTGAAACTTTTATTTGCTTTGTTGGCAGCTGTGGTGCTGTTAAGGAAAAAATTAAGAAAACTACAAAAGGTGGTAGAATGGCCCCCAAGGTTCTTTTGGCTTGCATTCTTTACCTCTGACCCTTTCAGTTGTTTTGCCTTGATTCCTCAGCTGGGCCACATTTTCTGAATCTGATGTGCATCTGTAACTCTGTGACATCACGCCTTTTATAAGGTAATAACATCGAAGCCTGATAAGGTATCTGTGCTTTGAGGTGAAATTCAGCATTTGAGTCATTCAGAGGAAGTGGAGGCTGCAGCAGGGGTGGTTTGGGGTGGGGATTGGGATCAGGCTCCCAGGAGCAGGTAACTGAGAAGGAACTGCCTGTAACAAAAGTGATTTCTCTGACTTTTTCCTGTGTTACACCACATTGCAGCCCAGCTTCTCCTTTGTCAGGCACTCTGGGGCAGTAACTTCCCTGCAGGGTCGATTGCAAAGAGTAGTAACAAATGTGGTGTAATTTTGGTGTGGTCCATTCAGAACTCCTCCTTTTGGAGCAAAAAAAATCCAAGAGTTTTAATTAAAGAAAACCGAGGATCTAAAGTTGTTTAGTCCAGCTGAATATTTTATAACCAAGGAAAACATTGACGTATGACTGGAACCTGAAGTGATTTTCAGGTAATCTACAAATACCTGGACTACTGAAAAAAATTAAATTATGCTTAAGTAACAGCACCTGTGTTTATAATATGAGGTAGGACAAGAATCATTACCTGACCTGTTAATTGTGGAAACTTTATGGTGTCTCTGTAACCCCATTTGCTGGAAATTCCTTGCTTTTTGGAAATCAAGGTCAGTAATAGGTGAATATTTTTGAAATTGCTAAATGTTTTCAATTTGACCAGACAGATTGGTCTCTTTTGGGGATGGTCACTGACAGTTCTGGGGTTTAAGAATATCAGAGCTCAAGTACCTGTGGGACATTGCCACTTTTGAGTTGAGAATTGCCTGGTGAGCAGTGGGAGAAGCTGGAATCCTTCGCTTTGAGGAATGCAGCAGTGGAAATGCACATGAAAATGTGAGGAACTGGGATATTATACAGTTTATCCTCAACAATTTTGCTGTAATGGTAGCTTTCCCTTTTTAGCTTCACCATGATTCATTGACTAAATATGTGACTTCAAATTATGGCCTTATTTAAACTAAAGAGATACCCTGCACTGATTGGGGCAAAGCTCTCTGCACTCTGCTCTAAGTGGACACTGTTGGCTTTAATGCCTATTAAAAAATTAATTGGCTTAATGGAGTCTAGAAAACACAAAATACCATCAAAATTATTATTCAGAATTGGATTTTTTGGTTTTGTTACTAAAATTGTCTGACCAAAAAATGAAATCACAGATTTTTTTCCTTTTCCATATATTGGAAAGTGATTTCTTATAAGAAAGGGTATTGAAAGAACTTGAGGTAACTGCAGAATTTCCAGCTCCAGACAGAACCCAGCAGTGGTGGTTGGGCTGCAGGGTTTGCATGCTGACCTGTATGGTTTCAGTATTACCTTCTTTCTTGTATTTGTCCTTTTACTTCCAATATTCTCTGCACCTGAATTCAGGCTTGTGCTTCCTTGATGAATCAAGTCATAATAAATATTTCAATTGCTTAAAAATTGTCTGAATAATTTGAGATCACAAAATGAGCAGGAATCATTGCAATCATCTCTTCAGACTGCACTTGACATAAACAAGAGCAACAATTAACTCTTCTAATTGTCAGGCAACTTGGTTACTGATGTCTGGCTGATTTTCTAAAAAGAAGTTTGGCAACCAAGCCTCACTGGTGCCAGTTCAGTTCTTGCAGTGCAGTTTAACCTTCTGGTGATGTTTATGTCTTATGTTTGCCCGGGTTTGTTTAGCTGGGAATTCCAGCCTCTGCCTTGTGTTGTGGCTTTGTCCTCCAGCCTGGTGATTGTACCCAAGTGCAGGTCCTGATAACAGTGTCCTCTGTGTGCTCCTCACAGACAAAGCTTGCAGAATGTTTGGCTGTAAGGGGAGTGTTTTCTAACAGATTTGGGTTTGTTCTTGTTGTTGCTGCCCTTAGCTCCTTAATTGAAATTTGGATTTATTCTAGATGCTGTGTTGGTCATGTATCTTCTGAGCACAAGGGTAATATGGCTGCCTAACAAAATATTAATTTATGTTTATCTGGAGATTGCATTTACTGTCATGCTTGTGGTGCTGTGGTAGAATACTGTGTTCAGATAATTCCTTGCTATGCTTTCAAACCTATTTCAGGATAGCTCCCCTTCCATCCCTCTGATATAGACTGGTTCTTGGAAAAAGTTGAAGTTTCATATATCTGTAAACTCAGCTGAAATTTCTTTAACAATTGTTTTCTTGCTCCTATATTACTGAATTATGTAATGGATTTAACTTCTCACTTGCTTCTTTCTCAGTGTCTCTATGATATATTCTTTATCAGCAACTCTTTTATTTCTTTTAGAATCACCATGAAAATGTTTACTTTGATGCCAGGAATCCAACTTCACTAGGAACTCATCCTCCAATTGCTTGAAGATACCTGTCCTTAGTTGAATACTGGGACTTACTAGGTAACCAATTTATAATCTGTCCAGTGAAAGCTCTTTTGCTTTTTTGTTCTAATTTGTGGCTTGAAAAATTGTTTCGTGGGAAGCCTGAGGTCTGTCTCTTTCAGAGCAGCATTGTCATCAAATAAAATTGCTATCCTTTCTAAGAAAATCACAAGTAGTAGGAGACCAGCAGGTTTTCCTCAAACCTCTGCAATATCTGGGCATTTTCAGATGGAAAAAGTGAATTTTCCAGTCGTAAACACCTGAGCAGACCCTACTGGGTTTGTCACTCATAGAGAAGTGGCATCTGCACTCTGATTTCCCTTTTGGAAAGTGTGAGCTGGGATCTTGAGCAATGTCCCAAATTTTGGTGGCTGACATGAGACAAGGTTAGGAAATGTGTGTTAGCAAAGTCACAGGTCAGCACCGAGGTTCTGCTCTTCTGTGTTGGCAAAAAGCTGGTGCATCGTTTTTTAGGGAGCTGTTTTGGCCAAAATGCTTACTGAGGGGACTTCCTCTAACTCAGCAGACTTTCAGACAGTTTCAGTGTGTCCGAAACTAATTGCTGGGGGGTGAAAAAAGGAAGTCTGCAAAAGGCTGTGTCCCTTGAACTGGCTGAGTAGCTGGAGAGGAAAATGGTCACTGTTGTTCTATTTTTCTGTCTGTGCTCAGATGGATCTTCCCCATGAACAGCAGCCTGCTGTACATTCTGCTTTGTGCCAAGGTCTGAGCTTTTATATATTAAGAATGCTTAACACTTGCTTAATTACTTCCAAGGTGCTTCAGACTTCTTTACTTGTCAGTGATAATTACAGGAAATGGAGAGGGCACTTGGAGCTCACTGCTCCAGCCTTTTGTATGGCCAGGTTCCTGGAACCAGCCCTCCTTAATGAATGAAGAATGACATTTAATGGGGAAAAACATTCTTGGGTGGATCATACAGTTTGATCAGAGATGTGTTGTGCTTTGTCTTGCCATCTGTGGCTTATTCAGCCTTCCTTTTGATGAGTAGCCACTACAGATGATCCAGCTTGTGTGGCAGTGTCTGTGTAAGCTGCCTTGCAGAGTCCCTGAAAGCACAGCTCCCTCCTCGGAGGCCGTTCATGAGCCACAGCTCTGTCCTATGGTTTGTGAAGTGATTCATTACTTGCACTGGCAGTGGCAGCTAAAAGCCTCCAACTCTACTGATTTTAATTTGAAATGATTACTCTCTGTGGCCTTGTGCAAGTTCCTGTGCAGTTGTTTAGTGGCAAAAAGTAACTTCTTTGGCATTTCTCTGCCTCTTTCCTCTTTTTAAAAAAATGTATTTGGCATGTCAGTGTATAATTAGAACACTTTGTTCTTGAAGCAAAAATTGAACGTCTATTCTCAGTATGAAGTTTTACAGACTGCTAAAACAAAGGGGTACTTCATTATTCTTCTCCTTTTAGTACCCCTTGATAAGCAAAGGAACTGTGGAGCTCAAGCAGCGTGGGCAAGCTTAGTTCTGGTGACACCAAACTGCAGATGAGAGCAAAGGCACAGACACAGATGGTAACAGAGCCTAGAGACTTTTAAGTTGGCAGTGAGCAGGAGGGTGGTTCTGAGCTTGGTGGTAGGCTGGAGTTACTGTCTGGCCTGCACCAAGGCTGAAGGGGCAAAAAGCAATGAATGGTTTTGGAGATTTGTGAATGAGGTTCCCAAACCCAGTGAGGAAGGAGTTGATGTGATGGGTATAAAGGCTTGTGAATGAAATGGGGTATTTAGGATCTTGCTTACTGCTGAAAAGTAGCTGCAATAAGACTTAACTTTACTTTGTTGCCTAAGATGGAAGATAAAAGTCATGTTCAAACCCTGTGTAACAAGGATGTGGTTCACTCAAGTGGAATGAGCAGTCTCTTGGCTGTGTAAATGATCCGTGGTGAAGAAACCCCTGTGGTGTGTTAGAGGCAGCAACAGCAGTGTCTGCTCCACGCAGCTGGGGGCTCTGCTTCCTGAAATCTCTGTGGGGTAGATGCTGGACCTGGCTTGTACCTCTCACAGAAGGAGCTTAGGTAAAATAAGGGGTAAAAAAAGTAGATTTCAGTGTCAGAACCATTTTCCTTCTTGTGTCCATGTGCACTGATCCCTCTGCCTCAGCTCATGGCTGCTCTAAACCATCACTGCTGAATTAAGAAGTGACCAAACCCTGCCTCTGCCTCAAGCTGCTGGTGCAGCTTTAAGGAAGAGTTTCTGTGGGAGGGTGGATAAATGTTTATGTGAACCAGGTCAAGGAAAGCAGCTGGGCTAAAACTAACCTGGGGAAACAAGGAAGCTTTCATGTGGACATTGATCCTGGTTTGCTTTGCTTTGGCTGGATGAATTCTTGTGTGCCATGTCGGGGAGGAAGGGGTGGCATGGGAATAGAAGGAAAAGTGGAAGGAGGCTGGGTGCTGTGGCAGCTCTCCACTCCATAGGGTGCCCCAAACAGGCTTTTGAAATAGTATCACTGATAGTAAATTATTAAAGAGCAAATACACTATGTAATAACTGTGTTCTCATCCTGCAGAAAATAACATCTGTTGTACACACTTTTTAACACCTGATTTTTTTCATTTTTCTTTTTTTTTTTTTTTCAGACAATGGGCACTGCACATTAAGCAGGGGTGGCAGACTGAAGCCCATCTGGGGACAGAATGAGTTTAAAAGATGCTGACAGTGCAGTTTGCCAGGCAAAGGCAGCCTATAATCTTCATATTTACCCCCAGCTCTCAACAGAAAGTGCTCCCTGCTGCAAAGTGACAGCAACCAAGGACAGCACGTCATCAGATGTCATCAAGGACGTGATTAATATCTTAAACCTGGATGTCTCCAAACATTATGTGCTGGTGGAGGTGAAAGAATCAGGAGGAGAAGAATGGGTACTTGACATCAACGATTCTCCCGTGCACAGGGTTTTGCTGTGGCCTCGGCGAGCTCAGGACGAGCACCCTCAGCAGGACGGGTACTACTTCCTGCTGCAGGAGAGGAACACTGATGGCTCCATCAAGTACCTGCAGATGCAGCTGCTGTCCAAGGAGAGGGATGCTCGGCGCCTGGTGGAGAGGGGCTTTCTGCCCTGGCACCAGGAGGACTTTGATGACCTTTGCAATCTGCCCAACCTGACTGAGACAACGCTCCTGGAGAATCTCAAGTGCCGCTTCCTGAAGCACAGGATCTACACTTATGCAGGAAGTATCCTGATTGCAATTAACCCCTTCAAGTTCCTGCCCATTTATAACCCCAAGTATGTCAAGATGTATGAGAACCATCAGCTTGGGAAGTTGGAGCCTCATATTTTCGCCATTGCTGATGTGGCCTATCACACAATGCTTAAAAAACATGTGAATCAGTGCATCGTTATATCAGGTGAAAGTGGGTCTGGGAAAACCCAAAGCACAAACTTCTTAATTCACTGCCTCACTGCACTGAGCCAGAAAGGGTACGCCAGTGGTGTGGAGAGAACCATCCTGGGAGCTGGACCAGTTCTCGAGGTAAATTCGTGCTCAAATTGCCTTCTGTGCAATTTCTTTTAAAGAAAATTCAAATAACTGCTGTTGAATGCTACTTTTGAGTCACCTACTTGGTTTAGGCTTAAAATGTCACTGGTTTAGGCTTGTCACTTGGTGTAGGTTTAAATGTCACTGGGCTGCAGTGGTGCTTGGCAGAGTTACCCGACTGCTTCTAATTGGTTTTCCTTATTATGGTCACTTGACTTCCTGTTGCTTGTCATTTGTATATGACTTAACTTTGCAGCACTAAACACCAATAATCTGGGGCAGATGTTACCTGTGCTTTCCATCTGAAAGTTTTGATGGCATTTGAAGCAAATCATAAGCAAATTTTTCATATTGTTCCACTGAAACATCAGCTGCCTGGTGTGATCCTGCCTTTGTGTGTGAGCATTTTACTGAACTCACTTTTTGAGGGAGTTATTTCTACAGCTGTTTGTGGAAGAGAGCAACATTTTTAGTTGGGGAGAAAGTGGGAGTCAGTTTTGGCTTTTAATTATTACAGCATTTCCAGCAGAAAGCAAAACTAAACATGTGAGAAGGAGGGGGTACAGCTGGCCTTGTATTAGGTAATGTCAGGATAAACTTAAACTGATCTCTTAGGCCCTTTTACTCTCTTAAAGGAAAAACTCTGGAAACGTGGTTGGATGTAATTCTCACCCATAACAAGATCTTCAACAGCAAAGAGCTTGAACACCACCATTGTAATTTTTAGGTTTAGTTTCAAAAGTTGTAACACCTTCATGAAAAAAGTTCAAGCTTTCTTTAAAGCTCTTCTGTAAAGAATGAGGAATGTATGCAAGTTCTTTTTTGTGTCGCTTTCAGCTGCTTGAAAGAAGAAGTAAAATTGAGGCTTGTTGGTTGCTGGAGTTCAAGTTTGCAGTTCTAAACAGAAAACAGGAAGGGGTCACAGTGGAAAGCCCTGTTTGATCAGCTGATCTCTCTGCCTTTGATAAATTTAAGTGTTTCATATCCTCGTCTACAGAGCTGGTACAGCTGTGTCGAACCAGGCAGAGATGTGAAGTCCTGTGTGCCTCTTTGTCTGCTGAGTGACAAATGCATCTATTCCTGGGCTCAGAACTAAAATCCATAACTTTGCTGCAGTCACAGGCTGTGTGTAAATCTGGGCAGGTTCAGAAAGAGGTATTTGTGGTTTTCTATGCTAGGACTGGTTGTCTTAAGTACCACAATTTCCTCAGAGTTCCACTGAGCATTTAGTAATACTTTTCATGAGAAAATAGTCTTTCAGAATTGAACAGATGTTCCTGTAAATTCAGTGTGCATCAAAAAAGTAGGCTTAGAACACAGAAGGTGAAATCCAGTTATCCTGCTCTGATGCATCAGAGTTGATTCAGCTGACAGTGAAGTTCCATGTTCCCCAGTTTCAGGCACTAAGCATAATTTAAAAAAAAAGTCAACTCTTGGTCCTGGGGAGGGATACACAGAAAGCTTACGTTGCTTTGTGGAAGTTAAACTGACTGCAGGCTCCTCTTGGAACTGGTCACTTCTAAATCCATCTGTGGTGACTCATTTTGGGTTTTTACTGAAGGGAACTAAAGTGCTACAAGGGAATTTTTCTTAAATGGGTGTTTCTGGGGATTTTTTGCACAAACAGTTTTAGTGTTCCTCAGACTATTTGAGAATGCTCTGTTTAATTTTGAAGTTTTATTTTGAATCTTCATCAAAGTTGAAAATGTATTCTCGACTAAAAACTTCCATGATGTAGAAGTGAGTTGCATTCTGGGTCAGAACTTCCTCATTTTAGTGATCTTATTTTCCTGCTACCTCAGTGAAATGGGGCTGTTTGTAGGTTGACCTTCTGTGAAAGTTCAAGGGGTTAAAGCAGCTGTTTCTAGCACAGAGGGGTGAGCACAGTCAGGGTGTTATGGAGGTGGATTTACAATTTTATCTTTTCATGCTTAGGGAATTGGAAACATTTTTTACTGAATTCTGTTTCTGAGTTGGCTGATTAATCTGAGTTCAAATCAAATTCAAATAGTTTACAGATAAACTATTGTTAATGTTTTGCTCCTTGATTGCAATTTGTGGACTGAAGAATGGAGTTACAGCTAGACCATGAAAGATTTGATGCTGAACGTTTTTTGATGTTGCCTTGTCAGACATCTGAGAGATGCAAGGCCTGATGCTGAGACAATGCAGTTAAAAATTAACCGTGGTATCAGCACAAGTGCTGTCACATGGGCTGTGAGAGGAGAGTGGTCATGGGGCAGCTCTGAACCTCAGACACTTCCTGCTCCAGCCCAGCACCCATTTCATTGCTTAAAAGGTTCCTTCTAGGGCAGCTCATAAGCAGAGATCAATTGCAATAATTGTCATTATGTTTGGCACTGCCTGCAGCTTTCCAGAGAAAAAGAATCAGGAAGGGAGGTTAAACACGGACAGTGGTGCCTAAAGCTGAGCTTTGTGCTGGTCTTTAACTGTTCATGGACATTGAGTTGCCTTTCCTGTATAGGAATTGCTCTCAGATTATGGTTTGTCGTTTTCTTTTTGTTTTAATTGTATCTCCAGGCTAAGGGAGATCATCTCTAGTGAAGAGCAGTTTCTTTAAAACTGGTGGGAAGATAAATATAAGCTCTGTTTTAAGATGCTCCTGACTTTTTCAAGCTTTTCTAAATTTAGTGATTAAAATATAGTTCCCTGACTTGAAGCTTTGCCTTCTTGTATTGACTAAGTTCAAGTTACTTATGATTGAAATCCTGAGAAGGAATTTACACTTGGGAACTATTTGGGTTCAAATTTGGAATAGTGAATCAAGACTTGGGGAACTATTATTTGGGTCAAATTGGGAATAATGAATCAAACCTTTGTTTCTTTTATGGGCTCAAACAAGACAGTTAAACCTTTCCATACACACTGAAGAAGTTTCCAATAAATTTATCTTTTCCTTTAATCAGGGAAAAATGGCTTAACTGCGTGTTTCAGCTATAAAATGCACAGCCTGCTATCTAAGACTCTGAATTTATTTTGGAAACTTAAAGTTAACTTATTCTTCAAGCCAGTTAATTTAGTAAAGTGGCAGAAAATTGAGTTAGGGGATGGGAGCATGTGGTGAGAGAGCAAAGGGAATGGGAGCTTTGTTTTCTGGCAGCAGAGCTCCCCTTGGCTTTCTGTCTGTTGTTAAATTGTAACCTTCGGTGTCCCCAGTTTATTACAGAATTTCAGTTACTCGTTGAGTGGGCTGAAAGTTCATTTCCCTCTGAAATGGGAGGTGAGGAGAGTTGGGACAGATGAAAATATTTGGGGTGTCATAATTCTTCATGTATTATTTTGAAAATCATTGCTTATTCCCATTTGGATGTGTTCTTGATTTCTCAATGATGCTGAACCAGTCTTTGGAAAGAATTAAGGCCAAATAAAATGGAAATTCCAACAGGAAGCTTTTATTTATTTGTCTTCTAAAGAATTATTATTGACAGCACAATCAGGCAGAGGGGGGGAATCAGATTTTCTAGAACTTACCATATTTAAAAACTATTAAAATTTAATCATAGCAAGTTTTATGCTTTACAGTTTTGTGCAGAAGAGCAGAATTTGCTGCCAGCTCTGTTTCTGTCATGACAAGCCCTCTGTGCTCGTGGCTTTGGGATGAGATGGGCTGGAGCTCAGTGGAGCTTCAGCTCTGATTTTTCATTTCTTTTTGCCATCAAAACCTGCACATGCACCTCGTGGGTGCAGCCTGCTCTGTTCCAGGGAAAATGCTTGTTTTGTGTCCATTATCTGCATGGGTTTGCTTTAAGAATTGTAATCAAAGGAGGAATGGAATTTCCTTTTTCCATTTGCTTGCATGCTACTGGTTTTTCTGGTAGAAACGTGATGCTGCCTGCTTTTCCTGCTGCACACAGCTCTTGGGGAAAAATCACCTCGTTCTTCCTTCAGTCCTGCCAGGGGGATTGCTTGGAGTTCCCAGGGCATCCCCCAGCAGGAGGAGTTGCAGAATTACCCTGAACACTGCAATTTCCTGTTGGTGAGTGGATATTTGACAGAATGGTTGTAAGGACCACTGTTAAACCAAGTTCAGCTCTGAAGGAATCATTTCCTCTGCCAGGGTGTGGAATTTGAGTCTCCCCTGTCCTTTGGCACTTTAGGAGCTGGGTCTGTGTGCAGTGCTGGTTCTGCCATGGAGCTGAGTGAAAACTCCCAATAGCTTTTTCAGATTCTGGCAATTCTTATGAAACAATTAAAATTTTGTTGTGTTCCTGAGGTACATGTTGAGAGCATGTGTGTGAGGGTTGGGGTTTGGTTGGGGTTTCTTAACAAATAAAAGGAAAATTTGGTGATTTTCTGCATCTTTTTCTATCTATCCCTATTGTAAGAGTTTGAAGTGTCAGGCTCCAGTTTCTGCCTCTTGCATTCCAAGGTAAGAGATGGCTTGAATGATTTCCTGCCTCCCAGAATAGGCTGTCCCAGCTCTGATTCCTGCTGCCATTGCTCTGCTATTTTTGACTCACCCTGTTTTATACAGCTGGTGTTGTGCATTGGAGCGATTTAGTTTTAGTTTTTTGGTTTTATTTGCCTTCTTATGAACTCACAAGGGAAAACAGTAAGTGGGTTTGCTTATATAAAGAATTAATTATTTTTAGCTGAAATTTTCTTGTCCCCTCAGGTCTTCTGAATTTATTTTGTACTCTTCAAAGTATTTTGAAGAACACGGTAACAGTCATTAAAGTTAAATGTTACAAAAAAAAAAAAAATAACCCACCCAAAATGTTACCTGACTTGGAATGTTCTTTAAAAAGTTGTAGATGTTTAAGGCTCTTCTGAGGAAACCAGTACATGAAAAGTTTCCTAAAAACTGTTAATATTAGATCAGCTTTTAAGAATTTGCTGTATGCTTTGACTAAATACCAGACACATGAGATCATAAGAGCCTTTAATTTTAAACTGTATTCATTGCTTACATGAGTAATCACTAAGAAAAGTTTTTCAGGAAGCCTGAGTTATGGGATTTCTTAACTCTATAATGCCAAAAATATTTATTAATAAAAAATATTGTTGCAAATGTATCTGTAGTGTGATTTGGCTTCTTGGACATAACTGGTGATAGTTCATTGGTGCCTCAGTTGGAAAACTTCATAAAAACGTTTTCTGGGATGATTTTGCAGTCCATTGCTCTGTAGGCTGGCAAAGTTGAGTGCAGCAGATTTCCCAAAGGCAGAATGGGAAGTTGGATGTCGTGCAGAGAGCAGGAGCTGAGCCACTGTCCTGGAGAGGAAGAGGGGTTTGATGTACTCACCACTCACTGTGCTGAGGTCACAGGACTTTCACTGCTGGTTTGGCAACTGCAAGGAGCTAACCTGGATTTTATGCATCTATTAATTTGCATATGCATGCAAAATGGGCTCTGAAAAAAGGAAATCTGGGTGATGCATTGGTGGGTAAATGCTGCAAAGAGAGATTGGTGGCTGGGCAACGCTGGCTTTGAAAAATCTGAGTGGGGATGATGTTGGCTCTGTAACATGTGTGGTGTGCTCTTGGAAAATCCAAAGCTGGAGCTCAGCCTCAGCCGTGTGTGAGCATTTCTGGATGCAAATCCTTTCCCTTCAGCCTTGTGTGAGCACTTCTGGATCGAAATCCTCTACCTTCAGCATGTGTGAGCCCTTCTGGATACAAACCCTGTCCCTGCTGAAGCCTGTTGATTTTTCTGGAGTTGCAGCACAGTTACTCTGCACTGGAAAAGCTCCTTGAGCTTATTCCTTTAGGTCAGGAATAACAGTTGCTTGAGGAATTATGGACATTCTCCTAGTTTATAGGAAGTTTTTCAGATCCTCTGAATGGAAATCTGCTGGTGGGAGAGCTTGGAGAACCTGGAATTAGTGGCCCAAAAGTTCCACTGCAGCACTGCTGAAACCCTTAAGGTACTTATGATAAAAAGTACCTCGATAAAAAAACAAAACCAAAAGCAGAAGAGAAGACTTTCAACATACAGATGATGATAATGAGGGTGTTTTACATGGAAACAGCCCTAAGTGGATGTGCACAGCATGGCTGGGTGTGCACACAGCTCTGTGCTCTGCTCCGGATGTGTGAGTGTCTGTGTGTGGGGGAGGAGATTACACAGCTCCGTGCAATCGTTTCACAAACCATTTCACAAGGGCTCTGGATTAGGGAGGACGATTTCCTCATGGAGGACATCACTGCTTGGAGCTTTCAGAGGAAATATCTGTGGCAGGAGATGCTGGGATAGTCTGTCCAAGCAGGGTGTTTTTGCAAGTAATTGCATTTTGCTGAGGTTTCCTTTAGATGCTGTGTGGTAGAAGGGAACACATAGTTAAGAGTTGATAAGGACATTCCCAATAACTAATGGTACTGGACTTTTACATGTCATAAAGTTCCTTTGTAGATCTTAAGTGTGGCTCATGCAGAGGATTTTGTGTTGTGTGTATTAGCAGCTGTCAGAGGACTCATGATCTGATTCAAGAATTAGAGATGCACAGTTAGAGTTTGTGCCATATGTATTTTTTCTTTCCTAACACCTCATCATAAAACTCAATTTTTCAGTGTTGTGTAGCAGAATGGCTGCCCAATGAGTTGTTCTGTAAACCAAAATTTGTCTGTTTGTCCTTTTCCTGGTTTTTTTTGAATACAGAACTTTGAAAATTCCTGGGCTAACTTTATAAAGGAGATATTAATGTTCTGTCTCTCTTGAAGAAAAGTTGTGTTTAATGGGAATTTTTTTCAGTGGTAGCAATAAATGGGGGAATAGGATGTGGTTGGTGACTTTTGTATGGAAGAGGTGATTTCATGGTGGTTGTGCTGAATGTCTTCTCTGAGGTCCTAATTGTTACTGATTAAGGCTGATTTGCACTCTCTACCTGTGGTTACCTGTCCTGTACTCCTGAAAATATCTCAAAGTGTTATTTCCTTCCCTCAGTCCCACAAATATTCCTGCATGGGGGAAATAAAAAGCACATATAGTTCTGTGAGGAACATGGGGGCTTCCTAAGCTGCCCTTTTGGTGTTTGTGTGCTGCAGTTCCTCCAATATTCCAATTTATTCTGGAAGCTGAAGGGAATCTGAACAATGAACAGAAGAGCTTGGGGAGCTGAGCATTGACGTATTTAGTTTGATTGAAAATTAACTCATTTTGCTTTATTGCAGGCATTTGGAAATGCAAAAACAGCACATAACAATAACTCCAGTCGATTTGGGAAGTTCATTCAAGTCAACTATTTAGAGAATGGTATTGTCCGAGGGTAAGTACAGGCTGAGCTGATCTGGGGGAGATCTCTGGGCTTTTAGGAACTGGGAAGCCTCTGTTGTACATGAAATGCTGCCTTGTTGGAGCTCTGCTCATATGAGAATAGCTTGATGCTATGGAGTTTAAAATTCTGTAACTGAGCTTTGTGGAATTGTGAGGTGATGCACAATATTCTGACTTTGCTGTACAGCTGGCTCAGGTTAAGAATCTGCTGCTGTATCTTTACCTTCATGCTAAATAAAAATAGAATTTACCTTCATGCTAAATGAAGGCTTTTGCATAACACTCCCTGCTCTCTCCATTTTGCATTAAAAACCATAAGATCTGAATTTTTAAGAGAAGTGGTGAGAAGTGAAATAGATTTGAGGAAGCCATTTTAAAGAAACAGTTTAAACATCAGTTAGAGAAATAAAGAATGCTATAAAATTATCAAATGTGTCTGCTTATATCTGAAGGTCTTAAAATATGAGATATTTAATGTCTACATTTGCTGGTTCTGAGGGACTGTGGAGTGTCAGGAGCAGTCCCTGACCTTTATGCTCCAGTGTTTCTTTTCTTTGGATTTCTTCTCATTTGCAATAACATGAGTGTCTGGGAACTCTGTGCCACATGTGCCTTAAGTGTTATTCTGAAAGAATTTCACTTATTTTCAGACCCAGTCACACTAGCTCACGAGATTGGTACAATTTAAATACTTTTGTTTTGTCTTCTGCCTGAGAAAAAGTTGCTCAGACTTTGTACCCCTCAATCATTGTACCCCTTGTCAAGGACTCAGAATTATTGTTTAGGTTACTTTGTCACCCTTTAGGGGGTTTGCTGGCTGGCTTCCATTCTAGGCTGACGTTTTCACTGACAAGAAAAATCCAGCATTGTTGGGATGAGAATCAAAACAGATATCTGGGATATTTCTGATATTGTCAGATAATTGTTAATCTTCCAGGATAACACATTACCCTTCTGTGGGTCTTGTTTCTCGTGGCAATTTTCATCAGCACTTTCCTTGCTTGGTCTGTCTGTTTTAAGTTAACTGCATAAACCCAAGCACTGCAGAGAGGTGTTCCTGGGGTATTTCTTTGTTCCACTCACAATATAAGGCCTACTGAAATTCTTGGTTGAGATTTAAGGTGGTGTCTGAGCTCTTCTCTTGCACATTTCAGTGCAGATCTCATTATTTGAACTCACTTGGCAGTTGCTGTCTGATGTTTTCTGAGGTCTCTTCTTTTTGCCCTCATGCTTATTTTGTTTTCTATGGCTCCTTAGGGCTGTGGTTGAAAAATACCTGCTTGAAAAATCTCGTCTGGTTTCTCAAGAAAAAGATGAAAGGTAAGAGAGAAATACAGTTTTCCAAGAGAATTAAAATCAATGCAGCAGTTCAAGAGCATCTGAACTATATAGAATAAAAGAAAATTCAGTATATTTTCATGAGAGAAATGTATTGACTTTGCAGGAACTACCATGTCTTTTATTATTTGCTACTTGGAGTCAATGAGGAAGAGCGTAAAGAATTTCACCTCAAGCAACCTGAAGATTATTTCTACCTCAACCAGGTAATCTGTGATTTACCAATGCTTTGGTAAGGGTTGTCTGTGTGTTGTGTCAAAGGTGAAAGGGAGGAGAACAGATTACACTGGGCTTTTTGTGATGTTTGGGTTTCATTCTCTGCCTTTTTCTGGATTTCTCTTTGCAGCATAACTTGAAAATTGAAGATGGGGAAGATCTGCGACATGAATTTGAGAGGTTAAAACAAGCCATGGAGATGGTTGGCTTCCTTTCAGCAACCAAGAAACAGTAAGTGGAGTTCTGTGAGCTTTTGTGACTGGCAGTTATTGTTCATGGGTTGCAATGAGCAGTTGGGATCATGTGTAGTTCTGTAGGGAACGAGGAGAGCTGAGTGTTTGAGGACTTGGAGACTAATTCTTGAGGCAGAATGAGGTCTGCTAACCTGTTATAGTGAGCTCTCTTAAGAAAAATTCTGACATAATTCAATTTTCTTCTTTAGGATCTTTTCAATACTTTCAGCTATTCTGTATTTGGGCAATGTCACATACAAGAAGAAAGCCACAGGTCGGGATGAAGGCTTGGACGTGGGACCTCCTGAAGTGTTGGACATTCTTTCCCAGCTGTTGAAAGTAGAGTATTTCTCTTCAGCATTAATGTGTGATACACCTGTTTGTCATGTTCTACCTCAGCATTTCACTCACATATCCCAACTGCTGTATCTAAATCTCCTTTGTGATACTTCCACTATCTTGTGGGAGGGGAAACATGAAATCGGTGAGATTATTGGGATTGGAGATGGAATATATCCTATAGCATGGAAATACAATTTGTTGATTCACCAATCACAGAGATGAGCAAGAATAGATTCAGTGTAGGTGTGTTCTTTGCCACCACAGGCAAACATCTGAGTGAATGTAAACAAGATAATTCAAACCAGTTGTAGGACTTGTAAAGCTACTGATGGATGATAAATGTGGCTGCTGTCAAAGAGCTTCTCTGAAGAAGTTGTATGTCCACTGCTGCAGTCAAATAACTCATTGAGGAGCTTGATGGTGACAGCAACTCTTGTTCTCTCATTTTGAAGGTTAAACGGGAAATCCTGGTAGAAGTGCTAACAAAAAGAAAAACTGTGACTGCTAATGATAAGCTTATTTTGCCATATAGTCTCAATGAGGTGAGTAAAAGAACACTTGTAGAGTGATTTTTAAATGACTGAAACTTGCTGTTTTGGATTTAAAAAGCTATTATGCTACACTTTGACATTTTGTGAGGGGTGGTTGGAAAGTTAGAAGCTTGAATTAAAGGCAAAACCCTCTGCTGGGGTTGTTACCTGTAAGTGACACTGGTTTGAAATGGAAATTATTATTTTTTTGAACAAAATTCTGAAGATTGCTTGATCTGCAGGCAATAACAGCTCGTGATTCCATGGCCAAGTCCTTGTACAGTGCCCTGTTTGATTGGATTGTTCTGAGAATCAATCATGCACTCCTTAACAAGAAGGACATGGAGGAATCTGTTACAGTAAGTCTCTCCCAAAACCAAGTCCTTGCAGGCAGTTGTGTGTTTGGCCCTAACAGTTAATGCTAGAGATGATGTGCTGTGATATCTGGGATAAATTTTGATACTTCTCAAACCCATGGTAAATTTCCTGGTAATATTTATTCATCTCTGTTTTCAGAGTAGACAGAACTATTAAATATTTAAAATCTTTCAGTACAGACTGCACTGCTTTCTGGACTGTTTATCTGTTGGGGGTTAAGGCACTGACAGACTGGTAACTAGATTTCCACATCTTCTTTTAGTGTCTGTCCATTGGTGTACTTGATATTTTTGGATTTGAAGATTTTGAAACCAACAGTTTTGAGCAGTTCTGTATAAATTATGCGAATGAGCAACTTCAGTATTATTTCAATCAGCACATTTTCAAATTGGAGCAGGTAAGAAATGAGAGTGGCTGAAGTGAAACCCGTTTTTATCAAGTGTTTATGTATTATGCAAACTTAGCCTTTACTCTGTAAAACCCCATGGCATAACTGCTTGAATATTTCTGAAAGTCTTTACTTTTAAAATTTCTTCTTTCACTATTGCTGTTCTTGTACTAACGGGGTTTTTCTTCAGAGGGCTGGAACTAAGTTTCTGCTTGACTGCAAAAACTAAGATAACATTCAGGTGATCCCAGACAGAAGTCAGCTAAAACTGTGAACTTTGGTATTGGAAGTCTGTAGGTGAGGGGTTGGATTCAGGTGTTTTTGTTGTAATGGTTGGGAAAGAGCTTCTGTTATTTTTGTCAGCCTGTAAGTATTTAATAACCAGTCTTTGCTGCCTCTCCCACCCAACTGCATTTAGGGGACACAGCTCTGATCCTGGTTCTGAAATCCTGGTATCAGTGGTTGTTGATTGACTTGTGTGCAGATGGAGTCATCTGACAGAGCACTCAGTGCTGCAGGAGCCCAGGGATCCTGTTCCTGCACTGCCTTTTGGAGGGGGCTTTGCTCCAGACTTGATTTTTTTCCTGCTTTGTGCAGAAGTGTGGTTCTCAGGTCACTGCTGAAAGGAGTCATTCTCTAGTATGTGATACTTTGTCAACAACTTTAGGCAAGCATTTTAAAGAAAATAAAATTACCAAATATCCAAACTTTGTGTGTAAACATAATGTTGAGGTCCCTGTTTTGTAACTTAGGACAGAATTGGCTATCCAGGCTGGCCAGAGTAAATAGTTACATTGTCTTCTTTCTTTTTTTTTTTACTAATGCCATTTTTCCAAATAAGCTTAATCCTTGAATGACCCATTTCCTGTATCTCTTGCAGCCTAAGGGCCCTCAAGGGGATCTCTATATCTTTTTAAAGAAAGGCTTTTTTGTCTGTGGAAAATGGCATTTCAGTTCTGTAACACGGTGTGCACTGTGTTGGGCAGACTGAATTCCACCTACTTAAAAATAATGCATTTATCATCATCATCTAGAACATGAGAGGTGCTCTCTGTCCTTTATTAAACATAAAACTTACTTAATTTTCTGTGTGATTCCTTTTTTTACTTTATCATGTTTTTTAATTTTATTACCTTATCATTAACTTTTTCCTGTGGGTATTTACAGCATTAAGAAAAGCTGGCATTTGGCTTCTGTATCTTAGTGGAAGCTTGTCTTGTCAAGCATTTGAGGGATTGTCACTCCAGCAGAAGAGCTTCATGTTCTCTTGTCAGGGAGCTCCAAATGTTCTGAGCCTAAGCAGTAGCCATTGCTTCCGTGGGGAAGTTCTGGTGCTGATGTTGTGGAGGCCTTAACTGCCTGTTTAGAAACTTCTGTTATTTCCTCTGACAGTGCAATGTGAAAACTCTGGAACTTGATATTTAACTATTCTCATTTCCCATAATACAAAAATTATGGAAGAGAAAATAGACTTGAACTCTTCTATGTCTGCCCAGTTGTACTGGAGTGCTGTGGATGTCGTGTCTGACTCCAGGGTTGTAGGCTGCTGATGGCTGGGAAGGCAGAGCACAGCAGAACATTCCTTTCACAGCTTTGGTTTTGAAATAGTTTTTTCAAACAGACCCTGCTGAGTGACGTGCCTGAGGACCTTTGATCTGTGCCACTATGCCTGTTCTTCTGTTCTTATTTATAAATTCTCCTTATTTTTGTCTCTGCTGCCTGAACTAACAAACTCCACTTGCTGTAGCTTTCCAAGGCTGTGTTTTAAGCACTTAGACCACAGGACATCAAAGGTCAGGGCACTGTACTGATAAGGGAATTTTCTTGAGCTACACAGGAGGAATATAAGAGTGAAGGGATCACTTGGCACAATATTGACTATACTGATAATGTGGCCTGCATTCACTTAATCAGCAAGAAGCCCACTGGCCTCTTCTATCTTCTGGATGAAGAAAGCAAGTAAGCAACAAACATCTTCTGAAAAAACATGTGTGGCTGGGGGGAGGAAAGGACAGTGAAAGAGAACAGAAATACAGCCCTTGAAAAAAAGAGGAATGTTGTGAGAAGCAAAAGGTTATTTATGACTTTGATTTACACTGGTATTTGCTTCTAATGACTCCAATATGGTGGTAAAATACGTTGATGCTAAAATTGAACTTTGGCTTATGCAAACTTAGGAACTTCCATGTTTGTGGCTTACCATGGAACTGCAATTAAAGTAAAATGCATGTCTGTAAGTCTTTGTAGCAAGTGTGGTAAATAGTTAATGTGGTCCTAACTAAATTTGGCTGGTGAAGGGGGAGGAAAAATTGATGTACACTTGAAACATTTGAATATTCTGCTGTTTGTGGAGCTGCTTGGTTTGGGTCCAGAAATTGAGCCCACCTTTAAAATTCAAAGCAGGTATAGAGATCTTGGACAGTTAATACTTTTCACAAGGAGCACTAGGCATTCATTCTGTCACCCTAATAAATATGCCTGTATTTGAGAAACAGCTGATCTCTTTTGTCTTGTATTCCCAGTTTTCCACATGCCACCAACCAAACTCTACTGGCAAAATTCAAACAGCAGCATGAGGAGAACAAGTTTTTTGTTGGAACCCCAGTGATGGAGCCTGCTTTTATTATTCGCCACTTTGCTGGCAAAGTGAAATACCAGATCAAAGTAGGTGATAGATCTGATGGGCACCAAAAAAAATTACTTGCCTTTTCTGGGAGTTTATTGTCAGGATGTAGAAAATTTGCTGGGAATGGGCTGGATCAGAAGGGTTCTCAGAGGCACTTTGGGTTTGCCTTTGGGTGGTGTTGGCTGGAGGGCAGCCCTCGCTATTATTCTGAAAAAACAAAACACCGGGAGCTTTCTCGAGAGCTCGCGGTTCCACGTGCCTGTTTTGCAGGATTTCAGGGAGAAAAACATGGATTACATGAGACCCGATATCGTGGCCTTGCTGCGCAGCAGCGACAGCGCCTTCGTGCGGGAGCTGATCGGGATGGACCCGGTGGCCGTGTTCCGCTGGGCCGTGCTGCGGGCGGCCATCCGGGCCATGGCCGTGTTCGCCCAGGCCGGCCGCGAGAGGGCCCAGAAAACGGCAGGTGGGGCTGGGAACGAGAGGG